GAGAGAGAGAGAGAGAGAGAGAGAGAGAGATAAAAAGCAATATAATTGTGAACATACCTTCGGCGTCTTCTAACTTCATCCTCAAGTCGTCGATTTCACGGATCAGATGTTTGTTTTGCTCCTTAAGAGTCATCAATAGCTGAGCCAATGGTTCACCGGCCGATTGGCTACTTCTGGGCATATCGTACTCGTAATCATAAACGGCCGAAAGTGTGGGCCCGAGTCCCTCCATCTTCCTCTTGATTACACCATATCTTTCCCGCAACTGTTCGCCCATCAGTTTGAACTGATCCCTCTGTGCCTTACATTCAAGCAGTTCTTGAGATAATATGATTAGCGCACACGACTTGCTGTCCAATTTGTCCCGCAATAGCGATATCTATTACATCCCAAACAAAATAAATTGTAATTTAATTATTATCTATAATATACTCTCTTTTCATTATATTTAGTAATTTTGTTCAAAGAGTGAACACATTTGGGAATTTAATTGCGAGCGAGTATTGCATGTTTGAAATGTTGAATTTTGGCTTTCATTTGTGTAGAATCTCATAAACATTATTGATTTTTATGTATAATAATTAAATAAATGGCAAAATTCAAAATAATAACATGTTTTCTAGACTTTACAATAAATGATTGTTATGCATGTTTACCATAATCGCATATTTAATTAACGTGGCATCCCATCCGTTAATTAATCGAGATTATGTTTTATGCTGGGGTCCCGATATGTGTTACCACAATATAAATTATATTTGGTTTTTAAAAATAGCTTTAATGGTCAGAGCTCTGGATGTATGAGCTCTTTGAACGTGATCTGAACCACAAATATTGTGCCCAATATTACTGTATAAATGACTACACGATTACATGCAATGATTTTGATGCAGAATATTCTTATCTCAACACAAATAAATCAATTGTTATTTTATCTTCATTTTCAAATCTCGTCAAACAATTGAACAGTAAAAACATTAATCAATAAAAGTGTGTTAAAAATGCACACAAATGTATGCAGAATATTCTTATCTCAACACAAATAAATCAATTGTTATTTTATCTTCATTTTCAAATCTCGTCAAACAATTGAACAGTAAAAACATTAATCAATAAAAGTGTGTTAAAAATGCACACAAATGTTGGGATAAATCACAATAAGATGTATGCTATGAATACTTAGAAAGTAAAAGTGATTTTCCTTTTAGTGTACAAGAATAGTAACAAAGTATTGATCGCATGTGTTGTCTGTCTTGGGATACAAACAAACAAATGTGATATAAACTGGACTTTTGATCACTATTTTATAAATCTCACGCAAATGGACTCAAACACTCAATATTCAAATAATATTTGATCATTTCGTTAGAAAAATAATACATTTATCCCTTCAATAAGTTTTGCAAATCTCTAGTATTACTATTAAATGCATGGCTTATAGTACGTAGAAATAAATACATAAAATTGATAATAAAAATAATAAATACGATTTCTAAATAGGAAATGTTTACAAAACATGTATATTTAGTAAACCGGGAGAAAAATACAAATGGAAATACAATGTAAAATAAATGTAAATATTATTTACAATAAATGTATACCTCATTGAGAGCGGTCTCAAACTGAGCATTTGAAACGGACTTGTTTTTATCACTCATTGTTTTTATTATTAATAATTGTTTGTTTATTAATGATTAATTTAAATATTCAATAAATATATCAATGTTATAATATATTAAATAATTATATATTATGTATACATAACGAGAAGCACAGGAATAAACGGATAACTTATATTTTATATACAGTTATACACAAAAATACATGTATTTTATACGAGAATAGGAAACACACTTTCACTGAACAGGAATACCATTACAGCCATTGATATGAATGTATTTTCCACAATATATAACACATATTAAGGCAAAGAGTATTGAATGAGAATTTAATAAAAATTTAATTAATATTTTGCTGTATTGTTAATGAATAGATAGGAGAGTGAAATGTAAATTGTTTTTACAGGTAGTGAATGAATGGTATGTTTTTGATGCCAAACTCAGACTCAGTTCTCTGGCTGTGATCTGTACTCTAATTCAAATCCATTGCTGAGTTCACAGCTTTTTTGCCACACGATAGACATGTATTATTTTGAATGCAATGTATGGCACAATCTGTTAGAGCCAGTGGTGGTAGCGATGGAAATGTGTTGTGTATCTCATAAATCAATAATAAGGGTTGGTTTGCGTAACGCATGGCATCTCTTATACCGTTGCCAACAAATTGTGCGCTAATTGATATACATAAGCCATTCTTCTGACGGATCACTTCACCGCTCTCTTCGTCCACTTTTAATAGTGTCAGAGGGTATAGGAGTCGCACAAACCATAGGTAGTAATAGGGATAGAAACCAACGGCTCCCTCGCGTCCCGGAAAATTGACTTTGAAAATAATTTAATTGTTATTTTTAGTTATTAACAGTTAACAGTTTAGTTTTAAATAAATGTAAGCAAATCTAAATTTAGTATAGTTTTAGTGCATAATGTATTAATTATAATAGATTGTAATTATAATAATAATAACATTTATATTAATTTGCGTGACTATTAAAACTACATATAAGTGGACGCAAGGTTGAGGACATATCTTATGATAAATTGATCAAAATTAATAGAAAGTTCTCATAGAAAAATCAATCACATTTATAAATGTATGAAAACAATAAATAAAAACAAAATTGCAATTAAATTTAAATTATTTGAGCCTTGATTTGTATGTTTTGATACATTTTATTAGTGTTTACTTGTTTTCTCTTTATCATAATGCTTATTAAATGTTTATTTATAATAATTGTTATTAAAATATCAGTTAAATTTAAAAAAATGTTTTGTAAATTTACTGAGATTTGAATTTCCTTCAGTCGAGGCGTAAAACTCTGCGATGAGTTTAATGTTAAACCGTTGCTGAAAGTCGTGCCATATCTTAGGCCGCAAACCATTGCCAAACATCACTCTAATTGNAGTTAAATTAAAAAAATGTTTTGTAAATTTACTGAGATTTGAATTTCCTTCAGTCGAGGCGTAAAACTCTGCGATGAGTTTAATGTTAAACCGTTGCTGAAAGTCGTGCCATATCTTAGGCCGCAAACCATTGCCAAACATCACTCTAATTGAATGGCTTTTATCGCAATCCCTGATCGGTTGGGCCAATAGGTATCGACACAACTCTCCGATATAGTTGGATACCTATCGGTGCGGATGAATGTTATAATGTAATTGATTTTTTAACCATTAAATTTTCAATTTACAAACATTTTATCCATTAAAATAGTCATTTATGAAATACATTTATGTATTATTTTAATGACTCAAAATTAAAATCTAATATTTTTACTTTGTTATCAAATAAAGTGCATGTATGTAATGGTCTATACTTACCGTGCATTTGTATTTAATGCAATCACTCCAATAGTCTGTGGCCGAGAATTTGTCTTTGAGGACAACACTCATGCCGTGGATTAGACCCAAACAAGTGCTGACACAAGAGTTGGCGTGATATAGAGGAAGGGAGAGGTATATGATGTCACTAGTCTTGAGCTGTAATGAGGTGCCGATCACTAGACCCAGTGTTAGGTACCGGTAGTGTCGGAAGATAGCGGCCTTTGAGAAGCCCGTCGTTCCCGATGTGTATAAATAAAAGAGTATTGAATCAAAATGACATTTATTTGTTGTTAAACATCCTTTGGATGATTCAACCGATGCTATCATTTGGTGAATTGGCTCACAATTGATGATAGTCTGGGCGACTGTGTCCTCCATTATATCCCCATAACAATAGTATCTTATGTTTGGATTAAATTGTGTTAATTCTGGCATTATTTCGGCAATTCCTAAAAATAATGACAATTAGACACTTGTTAATACATTTTCAAATTGTTTGATATATTTGTTAAAGTTTTACTTTCATAAAAGACATTTTCAAATATAACTGCTTTACAGTCAATGGCTTTAATGGCGTGAAGCAAAAAGTCTGTCCGATTACTGGTGTTAATGAGCGCCGGAATGACACCGATTTTGGTCAACCCAAGCCATAGCCCCATATACTCGGGCCTATTGTTCATCATTAAACAGACCTCGTCTTTGCTTTTAAAGCCTAAACCACTGAAACAATTAGCCGTTTGATTGGAAAAGTCATTCAAATGAGCGAAACTCCACTTTTCATTCTTGTAATAAATGGCTATTTTATGCGGATATTGGGCCACAGTTTGTACAAAGAGTTCGTCCACCGATTGGTCGTTACGTTTCCATTTAAACAAATTATACTTCACTATAATATAGTAGTAGAAAGACCTGTAAATATATCACATTTATGATGAGTTTAGTCTTGGTCAATTGTGCCAATATTATACATGTTAAATAAAAATGTATCATGAACAGTTTAATCTAACCTGACATCCCGGGGTAAATTTTTAAGGCCACTAATGCCGTATGCAATGAGTTTCGGTACAGTCAATGAAAAGTATGTTAACGTTAAAAATATAGCGATTATAACAATTAAAGCGACTAATAATATAAAATCCATTTCATAATTAAGATTATAATAAGCCATGGTTAGTTTTATATTAATCAAATCAATTCACAATATTATCAATCATTTAACAGTTAAACTTAATTCAAACAAACAATACATGTAAAGTTAGTTTTGTATACATTTTTAATAAACTAAACTGTAATTTCATTCAAAATTGTATAACTCGTGTATTACTAAAACTGCAATCAAATGTTTGCAATATTACAAAAATAAGTTTAACTTTAAGGAAAACATCGTATAATAATAATACAATTAGTCTGAATTTGAAATAAATCTTGAAAAAATTTTGATAGGATTTTATATTAAAATATTATTTTGGGAAAAATCCATAGCAATTGTAATGACTGAAATTTACTTTTGGTTAACATGTATAAAAATTATATTGATAAAACAATGCATTGGTACATTGTATCTTATGTTTGGGTTTTAGTAATAATGCCATAAATAAAATGATAGGTAAATTAATTTGTTATAAAAGACATGCATTATTTAAATTATAAATTTATTAATTAAAATATTATAAAAGATATATTTTTCTGTCAATACTTTACATTTTTTTCCTTATTTGCAACTTTTAGAAGCAGATAATTAATTCAATTTATATATCAAAAACTTCCTCTAAATTATGAATGTTAATTATTAATTAGTTTTACTATATATATAAAACTTTACATATATCCATATAATTACCAAAATATTTTATTTAAAAGCTATTTTAAAAATGTAATCTAATGTTATATAGATTTAATTTTCATAACATAATAGTTTGTTTATTTATTACAAACTTAACAGAGATATCATTTAAATTAATGTATTGTGTTTATAACAATTTTAAAATTTTATGACAATGTTATACATTATTATAACTATAAATATACAACAATTGTTTAGCACATAAAGCATTACATAATAAGTTTGAAAATTAGCGCACAATTTGTTGGCAACGGTATAAGAGATGCCATGCGTTACGCAAACCAACCCTTATTATTGATTTATGAGATACACAACACATTTCCATCGCTACCACCACTGGCTCTAACAGATTGTGC